CTCCTCCTCCTCCTCCTCCTCCTCCTCCTCCTCCTCCTCCTTCCCCTTCCTCCCCCCTCCTCTGCTGGGAGCCATTAGCCAAGTAGGTATGACAATTTCCTTGCCAGCGTACCCCATGTTGCTTAGTGGAAGGACTCGTGGAAATAGGACATTTTGCAGTGACATTGAATGTAGGTGACCTTGCTCAAGGACCAGGGCGGATTAGGGTGTTCCCGGTTTAGGATAATCGGGTTTAGGGCGTTCCAGGTTTAAGATTATTCCTGCTGGGAATAGGGCGTATCCTGCTGCCTGAGTTCCCCTTGAGTTCTCACGGGATTCAGACAGTATTTTTTGGGAGACAGAAGCCCAGTGGAGGTGGATTTGGGAAGAGAACGTGGATTTCCCCAGAACGTGATTGTAGACGGCTGATGTGAGTTTGGGAATAAAGAGTTGCTGTTTGAATCTACAAGCTGTGTGGTGGCTCGTGATTGTGTGCCCAGCCAGACTGCGGCATTTGTGCCCAGCCAGACTGTGGCACTCCTCCTCCCCCATCCTCCTCCCCCCTCCTCCCTCTTCCTCCTCCTCTCCTCCCCCCACTCCTGCTTCTCCTCCTCTTCCTCCTCTTCCTCCTCTTCCTTCTCCTTCTTTTGTTACTGGCACTGCCGTGTGTGTAGACAGGCAAGGATTCTTTGCGACCCATGAGAAATGGAGATTCTCAGAGGGAGATGGTTTCTTCAGAGTCACACAGCACTCTGGCATTGAGGCCCGGATGAGGACTGGGGTTCCTGATTCCTAAGGTCTCTGCTAAAATGGGGGTTTGGGCACCCGGTCAATGCTTAGTGAATATGTGGTGACTGAAGGAAGTGTCCTAGCAGTCGTTTGAAGGACAAGCTTCCGTGCTGAGAAAACTTTAGAGTAAATATGAACCTTCCTGGTGGGTAAACTGAGGCAGTCAATGGTCCCTGGCCCTAAGTGACAGCAGAATCTAGGAGAAACAGTAATAATGACTTCCTTATTTGGGTGGACAATACCAGGCGCTTTACACGGATAGTTGATCTTCACCTTGGAGTCTAAAGGAGAGAGTCCACACCCAGAGAGTCTCAGCAACTTGCCCAGAGTCAACAGCCAGGCATGTGGAGCTGGACCCTGACCCTGGAGGCCTGACTCGCCGTCCACCCTGTTCCCATCATGCTGAGCGAGCCAGCAGTGGCATTTCCTTCCTCTGGGCCCGGCCTACTCCCACTCTCACCTCCTCCTTCTCTCCGCCCTGCAGGTCTCTCCACTCCTCGATGGGCTGGCCAAGGTCCACGGTGTTCATGGGCACCTTTACCTCTCCAATGATGTCATGTTTGGAGAAGCGGTCAAAGTCGTAGATGGCCATCACCAGGGTTTTGCCCCCAAGCTCCTGGTATGGCACCTGTCGGGCACAAGGGGATCAGAAGGCGAGGCTGTGGGCAGGTGCCTGAACCCCTGCTCCAGCCATCCCTCGGGGCTCCCAGCAGTGCTCAGAGACAGAGAGGAGATGGGGGCCTGAGGGAACAGTAGGAGGGAGCCCCATCCTCCACAGAGGTCTACAGGGACTCCATGTAGCCTACACCTGGCCTGCCACTGTTGAATTGAGCTGGTCCCAGGGCCCCAGCCATGGCTAAGCACCAGGGAAAGGTCTGCAGAACTCAGAGGGAGGGAGCGGGCTTAGCCATTCTCCTGTCCTCCTCACCTTGAAGGTGAAGGTCTCATTGAAGGCAGGGTTCAGGGTTTTCCGGTGGACTTTGGTCTCATATTTCTTCTTCTTGTCTGGAAGAAGGAAGACTTTGACGTAAGGGTCTGAGGTGCCGCCCATGTCCAGGGCAGGTAGCTCAGCAGCCTGCAGAACGCCCACCGTGAGCTGTGGAGAGAGAGGGAAGGGCCTGAGTGCCTGCTGCCCCAGACCAGGTGCCGCCCCAGTCCTGGCCCTGCCCGTCCCTCCCAGCGGGGGCAGCTGGAGAGCAGGCCAGGCCCCTGCTGGAGGGCAGACTGGTCTCTATCTCCATCCCAGAAATTTGGAATGATGTTTGGAGAACCTGAAGTTGAGAGATGAGTTGCTTTACCTGAGCTTGGTGGGCAGGTTAATAGCAGAGTCCCCCTGGAACCTCCCCAGATCAGATGGTGGCCATGCCAGGGTTGACACCCAGGAATACACCCCCTGTGGCTTCCAACTTGCCCACTCCATGGAGAGGGACAATGTCCCCAACCTCTAGAATAATTGTGTCTATCCCCATTCTGCCTCAAGAACCTCGCCTGTCCCCGCCAGCCCCACCCACCTGGTTAGCCTGAAAATCATAGTCCAAGGAAAACTGCAGTTTGCCCAGGTTCTCCGGCTCCTTCTCCTCCTCCCCTTCGCCTTCCCCCTCGGTCAGGCCTGTCTCATTGTCATCGTCATCCTGGGGACCTGAGGGTGGGGAAATGGTTAAAAGGAGAGAAGAGAGCAGCTTGGCCCAGCAGGTGATGGGAACCTGGCCCCTCTGTGCCAGACCCTGAGCCAGAGCTGAGTGGGGCCATGAGGGAAGGTGGCGTGGACGCCGCTGCACCCCAGCCCACGGGCAGCCTGGGCAGAGCCCAGCCCTGCATTGGGAAGCCAGGCTCTGGGCTCGGTGGCTCTCTCCCCTCCAGGAGCACAGTACCAGGTGGCCAGGTGCTCTGCCATGTGGTAGAGCTTGCTTCTGGAGGCAGGGGACTCACTTCCGTCACAAGAACATCCCCCCACACTTTCCCCAGCTGGGACCCCCCTCCCCATCCTGGGCAAGACATACCAGCAGGGCATCCCAGGCCAACAGGAGCAGGGCACGTCCACAGAGGAGGGAAGAGAGGAGAGAAAGTGATGTCAGAGAAAAGCCTGTGGCTCAAGCCAGCCCCTGATGTCACCGCCACAAGGTGAGCTCAGGACGACTAGGCCCAGGTCACTCTTGGACACACACACACACTGCAGGCTTCTTCTGGCCTGTGAACACACGTGCACATAAGCACTCAAGACCACGATGACTTCTTGTCAAATTCTTGAGGCTGCCTCATGCTTTCAACCTCCATCCTGGTTCCTTGAGTGAGAGATGCCACCCCGTCACCCCCGATGAAAACATGGGGACTGTGATGCACACAGGGGCCTCTGTAAATTTGAGGCTTTGGCATATTAAGGGACCTTTTGAGGCTGACCAACACCAAAAGACAGTGTTAAATTAAATTATTATAATGCACTGTGCACGCCTGTAATCCCAGCGACTCAGGAGGCTGAGGCAGGAGGATCGTGAGTTCAAAGTCAGCCTCAGCAACTTAGTGAGGCACTAAGCAACTCAGGGAGACACAGAAAAAGAGCTGGGGGGTGTGGCCCAGTGGTAAAGTGGCCCTGGGTTCAATTCCTAGTACTAAAAAATAAATAACAATTATTCTGATGAGTCATGATTCCATTCGCCCCTGACCTGGTGCCTGAAGACCTTTTTCCCAGCTCATTCAACTCCTCACCCCAGCCCAGCCCAGCTAGATGCCTCCAAACAGGCACCTGCTGTCCTTCAGTCTGTCCTGGCGGGAAAACACAGGGTCACCTGCAGTGTCCTCCTGGTGATGGAGGGGTCTCTCTTGCCCTTCTCTGTTCCAGTGACTGCCTGGGATGGGGGCCTGATTCTCTCCCTTTCCTTCTCAGGGATGAGCTCATGCTGTCACCTGGGTAAGCTCCCCTTGCCACTAGCAGACGGTGGATGAGGTTACCCTAGATGCAGCCCACAGAGCCCCGTGGAGTCTGCAGCATGAGCCAGCTTAGCCGTGGCAGCCCCGGAGCCACCCTGTGGCGGCCTGCAGATGCCCGGCCATCCTCGCCTACCTGGCCCCCCTTCATGTCCTTCATGTTCATGGCGTTCTTCATGCCTTTGCCCTTCTCCTTCTTGTTCTTCTTCTTCTTGCAGCAGCATTTCTTGCAGATGCAGAAGCAGCAGGTGAGGAGCAGGAGGCCCGCGACCACGGCGATGGCGATCAGAGCCCAGGGAGGCACTGCCCACAGAGAAGAGCCCCGGTCAGCACGCTGGGCCTCGCGGCCCGGACCCCACAGCACTGGCAAAACAGAGCCCGTGACCCCCACCCCAACACCTGCGCTGTCCCTTTCCCAAGCCACGTGTCCATGCGTGGTTTGCAGAGTTGCGGTGCTCGGGCAACTGTCCAGCAATGCCCGCTCTTCCCCAGCCTGCGGCTCTGGTGGAGGAGAGAGTGTCGGGTGCTGCTCAGAAGAACACCAGCTCGGCTCCATTAACAGGAGTGTGTCTACTTTGATCCTCGGAGAAGCTCACGCTGGAGCAGATGGACTGTCCTTATCACACCCGTGTGCAGGAAGAGTCCCTTGGCCCCACCACTAGTGTGGAGAGGGCTGACTCAGGGACAGAGGCTCTTTAAGGTTCTGGCCACCAGGAAACCTGGGCTTTGCAAGGTCAGGTGTTCCCGGTGGGGGTGGGCTGCTCTCCATGGTCCTGAAGCACCGGGTCTCACCAGTGTGGCCACCCCCCCAGAAACTGGGCCTGTGCACACAGCCTTGGCCAGAGTTCAGAAAGCAGCAGGGCTTTTATTTTCCATATTTCAAAATGAAGTGGTTTTACTATACTACCGAAAACTATGATTTCTACAAAATTTTTCCTTTTAAAATAATGTTTTAAGTTGTAAAATATTTTCCCCTTGCTAGGAGTTGAGGCACGTAAACTAATCTCCTTGGTCACCCCATTAGTTCAAGACCATAGTTCCCCTTCCTAAAGGGGTTCTGCAGAGAATCCAGGCTGAGACCCACGTTTCAGGAAGCAAACCCATCCCAGGGCGCCCCCGCCTGCCAGCTCTGCCCTGACCACAGGCCCCGCCCACAGTCCCCTCTCAGCCCCCAGGGCCACTCACAGGGGATCTTGTTGATCTCGTTGAAGAACTTGTCCTTCAGCTTGGCGAACATGTCCTCCTGGCTCTCCCCCGCACCCCCGCTCCCCGTGGAGTTGTCTGCAGGGCCGACTGGCATCGGGGCAGTAGTGGTGGCAGGAGCCACAATGGGCGCCTGGTTCCTCTTGAAGATGTTCCTCATGGTGGCAGAGGGGACAGCTGGGGATGAGAGGGGAAGAGGGCAGGGTGAGCATCCAGAGACCCCGATGCAGAAAGCTCTGCCCAAAGGACCAGAGAAAGCTGTCTTAAGAGCTTGTGTGGACAAGGAAAGGGAAGGTGGGGGGTCTCATGAAAGTCAAAGGGAGGTCAGCAGAGTGGGAGAGGACCAGGGGAGGGAGGAGGGGAGGGAAGAGGGAATACTGGGAACGATATTGGCCAAGTTACCTCGTCATACTGTGTGCACGTATGAATATGTAACCACAAATCCCACCACTACGCACAACTATAATGCACCAAGAAAAATGCAGAAAAAATCCAAAAACTATTAATGGCAATCCCTTTAGAGTTCAAAGATGTTCTGCATAACGTTAACACCTGTGCAAAAACACAATAGCCATCATGTCAGTACATGTATATTCAGGAGCTGCGCAAAGTACTCTCCATGTATGACCTCGTTTAATCTAAACAACCAAAGTATTATTGTTCCCACTTACCAGATGGGGAAACAGAGGTTCAGAGAGGTTAGGAAATCTTCCCAAAGTAATTCAGCTGAACCAGTCAGCTCTCTGACAGCTTTGTCTGGCTCCAAAACCTAGAAATCTATTCTCTTTCCCAGATTCACTTAAATCTAACCCCGCAGCAGGCCTAGGGGTAAGGTTTTCAGGGAGGTCTCTTTCAGCTTCTGTCCTCTCTGACTTTCATGACAGTCACTTTACCTTGATTCTTTGCCTGTCCAAACAAGGCTCACGCACAACACTCCTGCTCACTGCCTGGCTCCGGCTCCGGCTCCGTCTCCTCCCCTGTCCTCTAGGCCTCTCTCTTCAGCCCTCTTTCCCTCCCTCTCCGTCTCCCCCAGCACCCACCTCTTCCCCCATGGCTGCATCTCCATCCCTCGCTATGCCCCTCCTCCACCTGCAAGAACTGGATTCACTAATAATAAATGTGACCCAAGATGACTGCAGAAAATCTGGGATGGAGGCAAAATTGGGGGATGAAGGAGAGAGAAGAGGGGAGAGGAAGGAAGGGGAGGGAAAGAAGGAGCAAAGGAGGAAGGAGAGGCCACGTTTCCACCACCCAGAGAGCTAAGGTGAGCATTCAGTATATTTCATGCCACTATATTTTTCTGGCTGTTTGACTTGTTGAGACCACGCTATATATAATTTGGTGGGCTGCCTTTTGTTTTTTACATGAAATATTATCAGAAACCTTTTACTTTATCCCTATTTTCATTAAATAGCTAAATTATATCCCACTGTAGAGCAATTGATTAGTCAATGTCAAAATGTGTGGACATTTAGATAGTTTCCAACTGTTTGCTAGCAAAAATATTACTATGTGGCTGAGTATGTAACTTATTGGTTGGGCTCTTGCCTAGCATGTGCAAGGCCCCAGGTTCAATATAACACACACACACACACAAACACACACACACACACACACACACATATGCTATACCACCCACCACCTGGATTTTTTATTTTTAGTTTTGAGACAGGGCCTTGTTAGTTTGCAGAGACTGGCCTCAAACTTGCAATCCTCCTGCCTCAGCCTCCTGAGTTGCTGGGATTACCGGTGCATGCCACCATGCCTGGTTGAGGTTATATTCTTGAGTTTCTGCCTCACCCCCAATCGTGTGCCCAAATAGTATTTTTGCTTCTCACGACTGAGTGGGTATGTGCCTCCTCCCTCCACACCAAGCACACCATGGGTTCCAAGGAGGTGTCCTTTGGCTGCTGCACCCCAGGAAATCCAGCAGTGTAGACACAGAGGCAGACCAGCTCATAAGAATGAACAGCATCCGTTTCACCTAATGACAATTTACCATGTGTTTTTGGCTGAGGATTGAACTCAGGGGCACTTTACCACTGGGCTATATTCCCTGTCCTTTTTATTTTTTGAGACAGGATCTCACTAAGTTGTGGAAGGTCTAAGTTGGCCGTGAACTTGTGATCCTTCTGCCTCAGCCTCTCGAGTCACTGGGATTGATTACGGGTGTGAACCACCACACTGGACTCCAAAAATTTACAATATATTTGAAATTAAAACAAGCATGGAAATACACATGGAGTTACAAAAACAAGCATGCAATTACAGAGCAGGATGCACACAGAGTTTTATTTTATTTTATTTCATTTATTCTGTACCTGGGATAGAATCCAGGAGTGCTTAACCACTGAACCACACCCCCAACCCTTTTTTTAATTTTTATTTTGAGACAGGGTCTCACTAAGTTGCTTAGGACCTTGCTAAGTTGCTGAGGCTGACCTTGAATTTGCAATCCTCCTGCCTCAGCCTCCTGAGTCGCTGGGACTACAGGTGACCACCACGTGCCTGGCAGCAGGAGAATTTTAAAGGAAAAATGTGAGACTGTTCTGGTCGGGTCAATTCTCCACTGCGCTGAGTTCTGAGGGAGAGTTTTAGGGGTTCAAAGTTCTGTCTTTTAGGGCCCCCTGGACCTGCTCTCGGGCTGGCAGGCCCCTCAGGTTCTCTGAGAACTGCAGTCAGCCCATCACCAGAGAAAAATGAGAGCCAGGTATGCCCACAGCCTGCCCAACTGTCCAGGACGTTTAAAAAAAAAACAGTTCTCCCAAGTTTATAATTCATCCACCATATAATTTACTCATTTAAAGTATTCAGTGGTTTCAGGGTGGTCACAGAGTTGTGGAACTACAGCTATGAGATAATTTTAGGACATTTCCCCTCCCCCAAAGGAAACCCCATGCCCACCAACTGCTACTCCCCACGCACACTCTCCCCCCAGCTCTCGCCACCACCCATCTTTCCATCTCCATAGATTTGCCTTTTCTAAACATTTCATATAAATGGATTCCTAAGCCAGGCGCAGTGGCACACACCTGTAATCCCAGCGTTTGGGAAGGCTGAGACAGGAGGATTGAGAGTTCAAAGTCAGCCTCAGCCACTTAGAGAGGCTCTAAGCAGTTTAGCGAGACCCTGTCTCTAAATAAAATGTAAAAGGGGGCCAAGGATTTGGCTCAGTGAGCCAAGGAGCTCAATCCTCGGTATCCAAAAGTAAGTAAATAAATAGATGACAGATAGATAAATGGATTCCTAACACATGCAGCCTTTGGGACTGGCTTCTTTCATTTAGTATGATGTTTTCGGGGTTCACCATGGTGTAGCGTATATCAGTTCTTTATTTCTATTATTGCCAAATAACACTCTATTGTATAAACAGGACACATTTCTGTTTATCTCTTCATCCATTTAAGGACCTCTGGGTTAGTTCCACTTCGGGGTTATCATCAATCCTGCTATGAACATCCACGTGTGAGTTTTAGTGTGGACATGTATTTCCCTGTCTCTTAGATACACACTGAGGACTGAGACTGCTGGGTCATGTGGTTAACTGCGTTTGACATTTTGAGGAATTAGCCAACTATCTTGCAAGGTGGCTGCAAGGAATTGATGTTCTTTTCAGCAACGGATGAGGGCTCCACATTCACCATATCCAGGACAATACGTGTCATGCCTTTTGTTTACAGCCTTCTTAGTGAGGGATGAAGCTGTATCTCATTGTGGCTTTGATTTGCATTTCCCTGATGACTAATGATGCTGAACATCTTTTTATGTGCTTATTAGCCATTTGATTGTTTTCTTTGGAGAAATGCCTACTCAAGCCCTCTGCCAATTTTTTAATTGAGTGTTTGTCTTTTTATTATTGAGTTGTAAGAGTTCTTTACATATTCTGGATACCCGTTCCTTGTCAGATGGTAGAGGGTGGGCGGGGGAGGTTCCAGTTTAACCGATTCCCAGCCCCTGCCCACGCTGCGTCAGGAGCCAGCAGCACACCCACCCTGCAGGGGACCAAGAGGGTTATCACATATATGATTTTTGATGATGTCCAGTGTATTTCTTTTGTTGCTTATGGTTTTGGTGTTGTATCTAAGAAACAATCACATAACCCCAGGTCACCGAGATTTACTCCTATGTTCTCTTACAGGAGTTTTATAGTTTTACATTAAGATCTGTAGTTCAATTTGAGTCATTTCTTGTGCATAGTATAAAGAAAGGGGTCATCCCAGGATCCCAGGCACAGTGGTGCACGCCTGTAATCCCAGAGGCTCGGGAGTCTGAGGCAGGAGGATCGTGAGTTCAAAGCCAGCCTCAGCAACTTTGTGAGGCCCTAAGCAACTTAGTGAGACCCTCCTCAAAATAAAAAATAAAAAGGGCCAGGGTGATTAAGTGCCCCTGTGTTCAATCCCTAGTATATTTAAAAAAAAAAAAAAGGAAAGGGTCCAAATTCATTATGTGGATATTCATTTGACACAGTATTATTTATTGAAAAGACATTCTTTCCCCACTGAATTATCTTAGTACCCTTGTAAAATACAAGCTAACCATAAATGCGATGGTTCATTTCCTGGACTCCCAACTCGGTTGCATTGATCTGCCTGTCTCTCCTTATGCCATGTAACATGCTATGTTGAAACTGTTTTGAAATCTGGTGGTGTGACTCTTTCAACTTTATTCTTTTTATAAGATTGTTTTACTATTCTAGGCCCCTAGCATTTCCATAGGATTTTCAGGATCAGCTTTTTTATTTATATAAGATAACTAGCTGGGATTTTGGTAGGGATTGTGTTGACTCTGTAGATCAATGGAGGGATTATTGCCATCTTTTTTCTGTTTTGTTTTTTATTTGTTCTAATTAGTTATACAGGACAGTAGAATGCACTTTGACATATCACACACAAATGCAGTATAACTTCTCATTCTTCTGGCTGTACATGATGTAGAATCACACAGGTTGTGTAGTCTTATGTGCACAGAGGGTAATACCGTCTGACTCATTCTACTATCCTTCCTACCCCACTCCCTCTTCCCGTCCCTTCACTCCCCTCTGCCTAATCCAAAATACCTCTATTCTTCCCTAGCCTCTCCCCTATTGTGAATTAGCATCCACACACCAGAGAAAACATTAGGTCTTTGGTTCCTTGGGATTGGCTTTCTTTGTTTTTAGCATGATAGTCTCCAGCTCCA